ATAATTGTTAACATTTCATGGAAAAGGTTATGTAATTTGGTACTTTTGAGAAATTGTTCACCTGGTTCAGTTTTTTTTATTTTTGGAGAAATAATCTCATAGTTAAAGTTTATGAGCAGCAGTTAATGTCCAGGCGGGAAAGAACAAAAAAATCTTAATAACTATGATATTCTTTAATTGACAGATATCCATCTGGCAACCAAGTAGATGTTCAATTGATTGAATCTGCAACTACTTACCACGAGTACTAGCTGTATACATTTCCCCTAGCCCTTACCAGGAAATAATTTATTTGTAGAAAATGATTTGTATTTTCTTTTAGGAAATTCGTAGGAAATTAAAATAAAGCATTACTTCCCATTTTTCAAGATTACACAAACTCTTACTTGTAGAATGGGGTTTTGTCCACCTTTTCTATTTTCTCATACTTCACCCTCTCCTCTCTCTCATCTTTCCGGGAGATAATGAATTGTTCCACCTGTGGAAGTCACTGCTCACCATCCCTTGTTTCGTCTTCATTTGCTCCTCCGTTCCCCGCTGCCTCAGCGCTCGCTGTGAGTGGAGGGGTCTCAAGCGCTAATTTGTTTTTGTTTTGCCGCGCTAACCTTGGAGGGGCGACACGCCGTTATTAGCTTCTCCTGCTCTTCTGCTGCCACACATTAGATTCAGGTCGACACGGAAGGCACTTTTCATTTGGATTTAATTCTCCTTCTCCCCCTCCAGCTCACCCTCCCCACCTTCTCCCATCCTCCCCTCAACCCTGCCACCCTCACACTTCTAATTAGATTTGGGGGGAAAATGAACTCTGATTAAAAACGCGGTCTTCTCCAACTTGACACACCACAGGCACACACCCACACACTGTCTGCTGCACACAAACACACACACACACACACACACACACCTGGCAGACACACACACACACACACACACACACACACACACGGCACAGCCGACTGAGAGCCCAGGGCAGGCTGGGAGTTTGTTTGGAAGATGTTGGGAGCTGTGATATATTGGAGGAGCCGACAGTGGCTGCAGTTCAATCCTCCTCCTCTTCCTCCCCCCCGCCCTTCTTCATCAAGTCCTCCATTAGTGCAGATCAGATCAAACTGTCAATCAACCCGGCCCGCCTGCCTGCTTCGATCTGGACTTGTGATTTCTCTCTCTGTCCCACCATGCATTATTAAAACAGATTTTCTCATATCCTGAGAGGAAATTAAAATCTGTGTTGATGTGTGTGTTCGTGTGCCTGCTTGTGTGTGTGTGTGTGTGTGTGTGTGTGTGTCGTGGCTGATAAGGATCTGTTGAGCCTGCAGTTCTTTGGTGGACAGTTTGGCAGTGTCAATCTCAGAGCGGTTGGTTAAGGTGTGCCAGTACAGCCAGAAGATGAGAACAAAAGTCACTGAAGCTGTAATCTTTGTTTTCGTTTATTTTTATTGAGATGTAGAAGCTTTTAGTTGCGGTTGAAAGTTGGAGGTCGGGTGTTTTGGGCATTTGAAACATCCCTATTGCAACAAGGCTCTTGATTCACATCCAGGAATCAAAACTCCACAGTCACATTTAACAAACAGAAATACTTACATCAAGTCACAGAAAGTGCCAATGCCAAGTTCTAATCAGACCTCCTTTTAAGCTTTATGCTGGATCTGTCAACTAAACACATTTTCACTTCCCTTTACAGAAGGGTGATTGTCATCCTCCAGTTAACTAACCAACTTATAGGCCATGTAACCCTTTGCCAAACAGAATGTTAGCCTTTCATTATGTCCAATGACAACATTTTGTAATATTCAATCTTTTCAAAATGTTTTACTTCTATAAATCTGCTTATGAAAACAGTTCAGGATACGTAAATATTGTGCTTATGGTTCATAAATAGTGAGGAGTATGCGTCTGAAGTACTTTGATAAAGGTTAGATCGTGGTTACAATTTAGGAATAGCAAACATTAACTGTCGTGTGTGAGTTGAATGTGACAACATGCAAACTCTGGTCTATTAAGCAATATATTAAGCAATATGAATTTATTTCCTAGGGATACTGGGCTCGGGAATGTATTAATGAATCCAAATCCAAATTCCCTCACCTCAACCTCAACCTCGTCAGAAAAGATTGACTAGCCACCAAATATTTGTTATACCCTCAGTTATTATTTTAGACGATTGTCTAAATAGAGTTTTAAATCATCCAAACCCACAGGAATAAAATTGTTGAAGTGAGTGCAGACCATTTAAAACACCCTCACACTAAAAACACTTAGCATGACTTGGTGTCCTTAATATTACCTGCATATAGATTAAAATACCTCATGAGTCAAAGAAAAAAATTAGATTAATTAATATTATGATATATTATGAAAATAAAAACTTTGAAATCAAATCAAAATACATTAAACAAAGATCTATATAGAGGATAGTCAGTCAGCTGCCTCACCTCCACAGTTAAGATAACTGGGACTGTTTCGAGGAAAATGACAGTTGTGTGACTTCCCAGCAGTACTAAAGCTTATATTAGCTCCGAAAGTGCCAAGTACCAGAGGTGAAAAATATTTAAACTTTTAGCACCACATGCACCACATGCTTCCGATTGATTTTAGTTGTCACACAGCAGTGCACACCTGTAGCCCCTGGAGAGGTGCCAACTTGATATAGCGCCTACAAGAATACTTGCCAACCCTCACGGTTTTCCTGGGATATGCCTGTTTTTCATTTTGCTCTCCTGGTTTCCTCCCAGGGTTACAATTCTCCCAATTTCCCGTATTTTTCCGATTTATGACAAATGTTCACAACTTAGTCCTTTTGGCAACCTATTTCTGGCACTGTACAGACTGTAAGACCTGCAACAACTCTCTCTACTGTTTCCACCCGGACAACAACTTTTGAAGCCTGTTTAAATTATTACATCCGTCAACAAAAAATCTTCAGAGAAATATTATCACTTTTAGTTTAGCTAATTTTGTTCCCTGAGTTGTATCTCAGGCAGCACTCCCTTTCCAGGCAATTAAATGCTTTTAGTTATACATTTATAACTCTGTGTTTGTGACATTGTTTCACTTGTCTATTAGGATGCAGTGAAAATAAGAACATAAATATTATAATGTAATATTTTATTGAATGAAATTAGATGCCATTTATTCCACCCCATGACCAGTCAGATGTTGATATTGGCTTAGTCTGCACAACCCTAACAATGGCAAAAGTATGGGCCATGACATTGTTTTTAATAATAAACATGCATGGCTTCTAAAGTTAATTTTCAGACAGTCACAGGGCGTGAACTAAGACTCCAGCATGAAAGACACCCAAATCACCCAAACCTTCACATTCATAAAAATGACTGATGTCTGGTGTGTGCTACAGGTATGTCTTTAACAATTCTCAGTAGAATATGGAGAATTATCTCCAATATTTAATCTTCTAGCTCGTAGTTAGGACAGGTATAGTTTATGGTCTACCAATCATGGTGAATTTACAGCCTGAAAAGCTGTTCTGAGGGAACAAATGTCCCTGTTCCCACCAGCTGCAGTATTACCAGGCTTCAGTTATGCTTGATCATATCAGCGGCACAGTGACTGATCTTTAACCCCTGCTTGTGATGAATGCGCTGCACTTGCTGCTGATCAGATCGCCACGGCCTCCCCTCCTTTCACACTAAGCTGCTGTATCCCTCGCCCTTAAACAAGCACCCGCAATTAGCACATCTCTTAACGAGGTCGTTAGAAGCCTGGTGTCCCTGGGTCCCCAACTTTACCGACTCCGTTTCCAATCAGGGATGGCTCATCTGGCTAAATGGCACATTTACACTAACACACCACAGACACACAGTCATTTCCATATTAATATAATGGGAGCACGTAGGGGTCATTAAAACATCAGAGAGTTGTAAAATCCAAATAGTAAAATACACGGAGCTGAGAGCTCCAATGATAACGAGAGAGAAAGGTACTTTATGATGATATTTGGTGGTATGAAGTGTTTAATGAAGTCATCTCCCGTATTATCTTCCCTATCTTCTCCATATCACCATAATTTGATGTGAATAGGTTAGGATAATGAGTTCTTATTCCTTGTGATGAAATAAGGGGGTGTGGGGTTGGGGGGGGGGGGGTGAACTGAGGGTCACCCACCTCTGTTCTTTCTTCTCACAAGCAATAACTAAGGTACTGGTGGGATGGTGTGTCTCGTCTCTTTATTCTGAATTGCTTCCCACAATAAAATGGAATATAATATCAAACAGTACATGTGTGTTTTTTGTCTGCTGCTGTTTTTCGTGGTTTAGGCTAGGGCCTGTGTTTCTAATTAAAGAAAAGCTGAATGCTACAATGATATATTTTAGACAATAGTCTACTTTGTGGCAACAGTTTGGGGAAGGTCCTTTTCTGTTTCAACATGATTATGCCCCTTTGCACAACGCCAGGTCCATAAATAAATGTTTTTCCTGGTTTGGTGTGAAAGAACTTGACTGGCCTTGACATGATCAATTATAACCTGTTGTGCACATTCACTGATTATTTATATTACTATTCTTATACTCAACATTATGGTCCTGATGTTTACCAACTGTACTTTTTAATTACTAATAAACTCCATCTCCAATCCAAAGGAAATTATATTAAGAAGAAATACAATAGTAAATTTAACTGCTGAAAGTTGTTATGACGATTCTGCCATCTTTAATTTTTTTTCATACCTAACTGGTTCATAAATGCCTGAATGACTGATGTATTAGAGTTGCTTAATAGCCACACAAAATACTTGCTTCTGATTGGCCTTTAAAATATAATGTAAATATACAGTTGTAGAAATCAAGACTTTAATCAGCGTTTAAAATACTGTACATGTCAGTTAAACCACAGTAGCCTAAACATTTTTTAAAGATGGATCATAATATCATTGACTTGACCTTTTCAGCGGTTTTTCATTTCAGACACATTTCTCACAAATACACAAAGCGAAAATATTGTACTTAGATATTTGTGAATTTGTGTATTCTTCTCTTCAGCTTGTGATGAGTGGACTGCCCTCCCCAGACCAGGGCTGCACCGGGACGTCAACCGCTTTGGACATTCTGCCGTGGTTAGCAACGGGTAAGTGCCATCCTTCCATACTAGTTGAGTCTAATTCATCACTGCTACACTCTATCTGGGAAATACTTTTTTAAATATCCCCTCTATAGAATATCTATAGCCTCTGAATTTACCTGAGATTTGTTGCCTTGTTCAAGGAAACTTGTGCTCAAATCTGGATAAAACACAATCTACTAAACTACTCAATTCACAAGGAATTATTCCTTGGCATATTTTTACATTTCCTTGATGTCTTCATGCAGTGTCCTCTAAGTTTTGGAAGCGCTGAGAACTCTTCTCTGCTTTTCCCTTTCGCAGGTTATGGTTTGTTATGTAGATTGTTTATGGATTGATCTCTCTATCTCACTGTTATATTTAGTTTCAGTTTACACTTCTCCCTTTGCTGGTTTTTCTGAAGCTCTCTGTTTAGAAGCTTGTGTCTCTCCTCCCACTCCACCTCTTGTCTATGTGTAGATGTTTCTCCTGCTTCACTCTCTCAGTAACTTTCTTTACTTTACTTTTTATGTATAAATAGAATATATACGCATATATGCACTGTTTATTCCCTCGAGAGCTCTATTTATAACTTTACTTTTTTTTTAAATCTGTATCGCTGTATTTCACTTGCTTCATTCACACAGAAAAGTTGATCAGTCTAATTCTTCCATACTTGTGCTGTGGTTTTTTCAATTGCTCTATAGTCAGCCTACAAGCCAATCACTCTGTCACCTTCAAAAGAAAAAAACTGCAGAAGACAGTTTTAATAAAATAAAATAAAGGAAACTGCACCCTGCATTCCTCAGCCACAGTTCTTTTGATGATTAATGCTTTTCTTAAAGTCATGAAAAACTGCCCAAATGTAGATAACCTGATATCACGTATAGATTTTCAGAGCTTCTGCAATATAGTCTGATAACAGATATTTTTTTCTTAAACATCATCGGTGTGCAGAATGTTTTATAAGCTAAAATACAAAAGACACCCCATAATTGGTTCAAAAACAATGACATCTTGATGCAGAGTGACTTGGTCTTGCTGGACTCAGACATAACAGTATGACCCTTTAACATCATTTACCCACTGAAAAGTCAGCTTTGAGCGGTAAAATGTCAGCTTTGAACTTTTGAAGGCCAGCTTCGAGCCACTTGCTCCCCGCCCCCAACCAAAGTTCAGCTTTATTTTTAAAAGGTTCTCCTGTTTTATTACCCTGTCTTCATCTCTGTAGGCATTTCTTGTTTATTTAAGACTAGCACTATCTTGCTAGAACTTTTACCTCCTTCCACAGCTGTATGTTTCTGCTGCCCTTTTATTTCTGTATCATTCTCTCTGTATCTTCTTCAGCTCCATGTACATCTTCGGAGGTTTTTCAGGCCTCCTTCTGAACGATGTGCTGGCCTACACCCCTCCGTCCTGCAAGGCATTTTCTAACCCAACTTTGTGTGCTGCTGCTGGGCCAGGCCTTCGCTGCCACTGGATCAAAAGTAGATGTGTCCCTGGGAGCCAAAACCACCTGATCACATTTTTCCTGCTCCTTTTTGCCCAGCACGACTTGGTACGTTACACTGAGGTCCTGTCTGCCCAGTGGAATTCTTTTATCTGTCTCTGTTCTTACTTTTTCCCTAAATATTTTCACTGTCATGTCAACATAATTTTCCTGAAATGTACAGCAAAATCATACTCAAGTGTTATTCCCAAAAGACCAATTTTTCATGAGAATAATAATTATTCTGAAGTATTTGGCTTCTGAAGTTTGTTTGCATACCATAATTATAGGAACAGAAGGTCAATGCTGCAGCAATTACCTCATTTTAAAGTAATTAGGGTCAGTTTTCCTCCTCCCACTCATCTGTCTCTGCCAGATGTAGATGCTGTAGCTTTTGCAGTAGTATTCTCCTTTAGGCAGCTCATTGCAGGTTTAAATAAAAAGCAATAATGAAATATAAATATATATAGATATATAAATATCTGTCACAAGCACGATTGAAGTCTGACAGATTAAAATGTCCCAGATCAGTGTTGCATGACATTACTGTCTTTTCCATATGTAAATCATTTTTATCCCATCCAAACATGGAAATTAGATGTTAGTTTACACTTCATTAAAGCATTACTTGCTTGCACATGGCCACCACATGAATCTGTTTCCTGACAAATTCCAGATATTTTGAAAAAAGAGCCAGATGGACATTCCAGTGCCCCTCCTGCTTTTCAGACTGATGCAAACTGACTCTGACTTTTTACTCCTTTGCTCATCTCAACATTGACATTGAAACACTTGTTAGTCAATTTTGATAAGTGGCGATTGATCAGCGCGCTTCTTATTGGAACTGAATTCCCAGCCGATGAATAAATCTTTTCTAACACAGAAAGAAGTAAGAACTAAACTCTTTTTTTGAAAGGAAGGTGTAGGAATGAAACATTTCACATGTCAAAGAGATTTCACTATGACAGCTGCGAACAGAAGTAAGTGTTAAATGTTTTTCTGATATGTAGTGTTCAATATTAACATAATGTCTTTACTCACAGGAGAAATTCCACATGTTCTTTTGCCTGAGACTACTCACACACATGCTCCATGCACTCAATTTGCATTTTTTTCCTTAACAATCTTGCTGTACTGCTTCACTCGTCAATCTGTGACGAGTGAAATGCCTTACTACATTATTATCCCACTACACAAAACCGCAGACTGCAGCAACAATATAACCTGATCTGCTCACTCCTGTTTGTATGTGTTAATGTGTGTGTTGTGCTCTCTTCCAGACAGTACAGACGAGCAGTGTTTCAAATTCTCAGACTGTGCAAGCTGCACCGCCAACACGCTGGGCTGTCAGTGGTGTGAGGACAGGAAATGTATCTCTGCCTCCAGCAACTGCACAGTGGTGAGTCTTCACTGAGAGTCTGTGAAGCAAGACTGTTAAAAAAAAAACCTGCTAGCCACTGAGGCTGCGATGTTCATTAGGTGTTACAATACCAGTCAAACCAGTGATAACAAATACAAAATGAACACCTCATTTACTACAGTGAACAAACAACATACCAATTATGTTTTCTTCTTCTTAGAGCCTTTCCACTAGTAGGGAAAAAGTTTGTCCTTAGGGTGGTGCTAGCGGGAAGGTGAAGAGGTTCATCCTCTGTGTAGCGTGAATGTGCTCTGTACATTTTAATGCAATGTGCCTATGACATTATAAGATTTAGTCGATGTCATTGCAACCTACCTATTGGATTTTTTTTTTCGACCAGTGATATAAACACTGTCCACTTATTAAAGATCTAAAATCAATCAATCAGCTTTTTCTTCTTTGAGTTATCTGACAACTCTTCATCATATGGGTTTATTATCTTTTATCCTCTCAAGGATGTTAAAAAAAAAGATTCAAGGTTTGTGCGATGTATATTGAAAACGTTGGCACTTTTACTGCTCATTTTGTTTTCTCTCTGTCTCTCTCTATTTTTACTCCCAACCCTGCTGTCTCTGTCTTTCTTTGTATGTTTGTTTGTCTGCATGTTGCTTTTGTCTGTTTGTGTTTGCTTGGGTGGTGATAAATATAAATCTGTGAATGAATCTGTGTGTGTATAGCTAACTCTGGAGCTGGCCCAGCAGCATGGCGGCGCTCTGTCTCTGTCTCGCCCACCATCCATGTTGTCTGAACATCAGCTGAGTTTGTGGAAGCACGGAGCCAGAAGGAGGGGACATGTGTGTATTATTTGACACTTAATACTTCCTGTTAGGCGGCAGGTCAGGTTGAGGTCAGAGGTCAGAGCAGGATTTTAGGTTTTATGGAAAAATAAATGTAAACCCCAATTTACATTTAATTCATGCAGTTAGTAAACCTCACTCCCCGATGCACTGGCGACTGATGCTAGTGGCCATTGGTTTTAGCCTCCTCACCAGCGTGTCTCCCTCTTGTACCTGAGGTCGTCGGTTCAAGTCAGGACTGTGCAGTCCAACTCGGGGGAACGGTTACAAATGCGCACCCACACAGACCTCTAAAATTGTACGATTCATATATCACACAGAATTTTTTAAAATTCTGATTATGGCATTAATGCCAGAGAGACATTAATAAAAATTAATGAGTGATTCTTACCAACCGTGTAATCCAGGCTTTTCCTCTACTCTCGTGACTGTTCTATCCATTTCAATGATGTTGCGCTGGAAATTATTGGCAACTATTTTGTCCCAGGTTGACAGCAATTATTTTTGCATTAAAATCTAATCAAAACTGAAATAAAAAAATAAAACATGCAACAAACTAGAGTGCATTTTAAATTCTTCTTTCATAGAATTTGTGGCAGTGTGGTTGTGTTTAACTGCAGATAGTTATTGTATGGATTATTTGATGAGAAATAAACTTGAGCACTATTACGCACAGAGAACATGGTGATCGTCAGATCAACATTAAAGTAAATTCACTTTAAAAGAGTCATCATCTGCTCTTGGTAAAATATTTGAGCTGCTGTATTCATGTTGAAACTCTGCACATCCCAAGTTCCCTCTGAGGAAAACGCTTCACAGGATCCTCAAACTGTGAATGAGTAAAGACGGAGAAAACCTAGTGTTCAAATGCAACAAAAGTGGTGATCGTGATTGGAGACTGCCACAGCCTCTATTATGCCCACCTATAATGTATGATAATGTATTCTTTCTGATCTCACCCTGTATGTAAGTGAGCCGCAGGTGCACAGGGAGAGCCTGGCCACAAAAAAAACCCAAATATGCATTTGGCAGCCCCCAATGCACGAGGCAGGGCGCACTTGACTGCAATCTGTGCAGAATCGCTGGGTTTATAAAAATAGAGCCCTTAGACTGAACATTCATTTAGTGATAATCAAAATACTGAATCCTTAAAATCCTTAAAAAACTGGATCCAATCCATGGCCTAAAAATTTATTAAAATACTTTTCTTACATCCTGCTTTTCTGACATTTGCTGTTGTGTAAGTGAGATGCACAGAGCATAAACACAACTTCAATAAAAAGTCCATCTCCATCTCAGTGTAATGTGTCCCTCATATTGATTTCTCTTTTCACTCTGCATGTTCTGTTTGGATGTTTGATTCCGTCAACCACTGCACTTTATTCATCTTCAGCTTTTGTTGCACATTGTATTGATTCCTCGAGGTTAATTTCATTTACTGTAAAAGAGGACATCAATGATGAAGTTTAACTTGACTGATGTTTCCTCTGTGTGTGTGTTTGAAGTCGGTGAGAGACTCGTCCAGGTGTAAGCACAGGGAGGAGCAGGAGTGTTTCAGACTGGCCAACTGCAGGAGCTGCTCCCTCAACATCAACTGTCAGTGGGAGCTGCAGCAACAGGAGTGTCAAGCTCTGCCTGGTGAGGAGACAATCATGCACACTGAGAGAACAAACACGCAAGCAGCCTGGCACACATACGCACAAACCACCATGAATGCACTTTCAGCAGCTGCACACATTTTTATACTTAAGATTTATCTATTGCGCAATACAGACATTGGGACCGTGAGAACGAAAATGAGTGCCATTTCATTGCAAGACATTTCCTTTTCAGGACACGGCTCAAATGAAATTAAATTCATGAACTTCATTTTATTCAGAGTAATTTAAATGAGAAAAACCTTTGCGACTTGGCACCTGTGAGTTGGATCCTAAGCTGCTTCCTGAGGTTCGCTAAGGCTTCATACATCAAAAATGAACACACAGAGACAGTTGAACAAATGCACGGATACATAAACTGTTTCATAAACAGTGTGGATCTTTTTGATTCCATGTGCAATATTGGAGTGATTGTTGATTGATTCAATATTGTGAATCTGGCAGTGCCGATTATTATCTCTGTAGCAAGTACATTTGTTTTTCCAAGTTGTTGAAGGGATGCTCTGTTCTGTTAAGAAGATTCGGAGCATGTGCCTGTTCCCACACTGACTGGCAGGGTATTATTAGTGGTCTTCACAAAATAAACAGTCTCATACATCCATGCAGGCATGTACACAGAGAGGATTAGCATATATTCATGAACACATACTTCAGAAATACACTCTCTACTCAGCTGCAAAGGGAAGTAGGCCAATTAGAAATGTTTACTGGATGTCCTGAATATGGATCCTTGGCTGAATAACAAACTGGAATCCACATAGTCCTCCTGTGGAGCCTTTAGCTAGAGCTGCTCTCGGTTTGACTTTGGTGCTAGCATGACTAAGGGCAAAGGAAAAACCCTTGCTATTTGAATCCACAAATTATCCTGTTCCATGCTGAGTTGTATTTTGCTAGGAGCCTGCTAGCTAGCTTGTTCTGCTATGAGCTGATTCTGGTATTGTGTGTGCTCCCTTTCTTCTGTTCACATCAAGGCCCTGTAGCCTGGTACACTTCCACCCCCTTCGGTTTGTAATGAACTGTTTCTGTTGTTAAGTTGAGGTAAGATAGTATACATTTGGAGCACTAAATGACAATCCCAGAAGAATAGTTTTGCTTGTATTGAGTTTTTTAGTTATGTTACATCAAAACATTATTTTCTCCTTTGAATGACTATACTTCAACATGTACTTCACGTTGAAATTAAGTCTTTTTAATGCTGTTAACAACTCTGGAAACCTAGATGTCGTCACCTAGTGTAAATCTACACTTTTTTAGGTGTGAGTTTGTAAAAATCCGAACGTGGTGACTGTGTTCACCTGTGTTGTAGTCATCAGATGAGTTCAGATTAAACGTCAGTCACACTTCCTGAAGCATTGTTTGGCCTGTGAAAACAGAGTAGCTTGTAGCTTGACGGTGTATTTTCTTTGTAATATTTTGTTCAATGTAGAGAATTGGAAAGGCAGAGGCAGCTATGATCATTTGCCACCTCAATTTTGTTTAAAGCTAGTTGAAGTAGTGGAGAGAAGTAAAAATAAACAACAACTTTGTGCTTCCATTGTCTGTGTGGCTTAAAACAAGTGCTGTTGGTTGCAGCTACCACACAACAGATGATATTTGCATAAAGTTGAAACTTGCTCATCGCACCGCTGAGTCTTTGACTTTTTGAGTTTTGCCAGCTGTTGCCAGCATGTGAATTGTAGTTCAGCTCAAAATGACTGGCATACTGTCTCTTCTCCAGTCTTATGTGTGAACGGGAAGTAACTGTGACATTTAGGACTTTCAGAGGGTCACTGGCCACACTGATGAAATTAGGACATTTCTGTTTCATTTCTGTTTTTTTTCTGACTTCATTAGTGAGCCAAGGCGCACAGTATTTTCTGTGATATTCTGTGAAGATATTTGCAGTAACAATGTGGTAAAGATGAACTGGGGTAATGGAAACGAGCTCCACCATCATGGCAGCTGTGGCCTTTTCTTTAGACACCATGTTATGACTAATTATTCTAAATGGCCTGACATGTTTATCTCTGCTTTTACACAAAGACCGTTACCTAATCCATCTATTTATTTTTGTACTCTTCGTTTTCTACCCCATTCATCTCTCTTTCTCCCCTCGTTGTGGTCAGTTATTGCCCATTGCTGTTGCTTGGGGAAAATAAATAAAGAATGTAGGTATTTTCTTTTCTGTTGCATGAAAAGGTTGGTGATGGAAGCCATTATGGGCCTGTGAATGTAATCAGTCCCGGAGTCCAAAATAAACAGCGGTGCTCAGTGGAGACAGAATGACTTTTTCTTCCCTTTCATCCTGGCTAATTGAACGGCCTCTCTATTTTAGTCTTCTACAAGACTCTACCAAGTGACCCTGATAATGAGTTCGTATATGAGTTTGAGTTTGTCTGCCAGTCTTACTCAGCTGTTAAAGGCTCTATATGCCGTGTATTTCTAACTTCTGGGAATCAGCACTGACGAGTCTTGTCAGTAAAAAGCAAGAATGTGGTGCGCTGATCAAAGATAACAGCATAAATCAACAATGACATCAGCCTCTAAAATCAGTCCAATAAGATATATAACGTACTAACCACATTAACCAGAAATATTTCTTTTAAAGCTGTTCAATCATCTGTCGATTCTGGCAGCACAGTTTATTTTCCAGGCCATCAGCTCAACAGTGTCATTCCCCTCCTGTCCACCAGCAGTCCTCAGTGAGTTTCCTGCCTTTGTCAGTCACCTGACTGTCCACTTACCTGAACACCTGTTCAAACTACCTCATTTGTCTCAATCTATATACATCCTCTGGCTGTTTTTTCTTCAAACTGCCTACTGTGTTTGTCTTTTTGGATTTGTTTGCTGGTTCTCCCTGCCTACTTGTTGATTATTGAATGCTACCTTGACGAAGCTACACATTGATTAACCTTTCCTCCTGTTAGCTGAGTTACACTGTTTAAAGGTGAACTCAGGGCTCTCACGTTTTATCAAAAGTTTGGAGTGAGAACAAATAGAAAGTATAACAATTGGTAGATCTGATAAAAGACTATTTATTTATATACTTACATTTCAAAAATACAAATGTATCAAAACTAAAAGGAAATTTAGCCCCAAACAAGCCCATTGAACAGCAGTGCTCTTCACATAGGCCTACAGTACGATGGCAGAACTGCCAAGCTGTGTGTGTGATAGGCTACACATTTCAGCTTATGAATGGTGTTTTGTGTTGTAAGTATTTGTTGCACATTTTTATGCCTTGATGACGGGTGTAGGGGGCCGTGGCTCAAGGCCAGCCATTTTCCCCATCATGATGGATGATTTCTGTCCAGAGCCAAAATATAAAAAACATCTCTGATCCTTTCCTTTGTTATTGTCCACCACTGGGTTTAGCTTTGGCAACCTGAAACCAAGTAGTACTGTACCTAAGTACGCGAGGTATTTGTATTGAACTTGAATATTTTCTTTTCATGCCACTTTCTACTTCTACATCACCACATCTCCAAAGGGAAATATTGTACTTTTTACTTTATCTGACAGCCTCAGTTACTAGTTAGAAATAATTTAAAGAGAAGCTTTTTACACACAAAATGAAGAGTTTAAAAAATAGGATGTTTTGATATATATTAAATAAATTACTTAACAGTTTATAAGTCCAGCTAGTAGAACTACATCAGTTAGTCTAATTGACGGAAATTTAATTGGCAACTGTTTTGGTATTAGTCATTTTTCATGTAAAAACATTTTATGGTTCCAGCTTCCAGTCTGATACAAAATAGTTCAACCTCATCCAACTACATTAATGCATGAGGAATAATAATCTAATTATATATATAATAGTATAACAGTCATAGGGGACATTTTTCTTTCTGCTTTGAGTAGGCTACTTTTATTTTTAATTGGCTACTTCTACATTTTCTTGCTTATAGCCTAATTACATACTTTTGCTTAACTTTTTCAATGCAGTAGGCCTCCTTGCAGAGTATTTTTACAGTGAGGTATTGGTACTTTTATAAGGATCTGAATAGGCATATGTTTGGCTACTTTGCTCACCACTGGCTAAAAAAGCCAAAGCTTCTGGTTGCAAAGAGGTTGGAGAGATTTTGACTGCATCAGTAATCAATAAGGACTCCCCATCATCAGCTGCTCTCACTATCTTTGATCAGAGGCAAGTGATTTCGTCCAGGAATCGTAAAATCAAAATAATAATAAAAAATTCATCAGGTCTTGCGCTTCCAACTTCCACTCCGTGTGTGCACGCGCATCCACGTTGCCGAACGTGCTTGCGGCGGGATCACGCAATTTAACCGGAAACAACACATTTTAATTTCTGATCGGGTTAACGGCTCTGTTAACGGATTCATTAGGCTACGGAGAAAGAGAGGAACTCGGCACAAAAATGATCGTCCATTAATTTAACATATAGCGGGACAACTTCGAGGACGTTGTGTCATAACTTCTCTGCGTGAGAAAAATACAAGGTGTGGCGCGTGAACTGGCTGAAATGCGTGAGACTTGAGAGCCCTGTGAACTTGTCGTCTTCTGTGTTGTGTGGTATTTTCTAAGTTATTTTACTTCAAGAGTATGTCACTGAAAAAGACAAATTCTCACATTTGAAACTCCATGTTTGCATTTTACTCTGCTAACTGTAAAATGATAACTTGCTAACATTACAAGCTAGGTGTTGGCAAGCTAACATTTGTTAGCTCATTGTTGATCTGTTAGCATAATAAGTCGCTATGGTAATAAGATCATGCTAAACATTTGAAACACTATCATGTTAAGCTGCTAAACTTATGTGTAATCAGTGTAATCACAGTGACGTGTTAAACATTACAAGCCAAACATTTGTTGTTGACATACTAAACATTATAAACTAAAGCTAACTTAAACATTAGCATGTTCAAACTGTTAATGTTAAGAAAATGCTAAGCATTATAAAACAAACATTACCATGTTAGCATACTAAACATTACACGGTAAAGAAACATTAACATGCAGATTTTAGCATGTTAACAAAGCGCTAACTGTAGGTATTTTTGTGCTAATGTTTAACTTTCGCTGTAATAAAACTATAGGCATGCTAATATTAGCATTGTAGCATCTCATTGAGTTGAATTATGTTATTGGCAGATTAAAATTCTCAAACTATCAGTCAAACTTAAGTTCTTGAACCAAAATAAGTTGAATCTAGCAAAGTTCATGCATCTGATATCCATGTTGTCATCTAAGGGTTTTCAAGACTGCTAGCAAACCACAGACTTTCATTCTAGTCTAGTGTTTTTAATGTTATTTGATTACCAAGAATTGGTGTTAACACAGATGTATTGAATCAATCAAACTTTATTTCTAAAGCACATTTAAAACAACCAGGTTGACTAAAGTGCTGTACATTGACATGAAACAATAAATAGACAAAATACAACACACAGTTCTCATGACAGATTAAAAGCCAAGGAATAAAAATGTGTTTTAAGTGGTGATTTTAAAAACTGGAAGGCTTGGTGCCAGTCTGAAATGGAGAGGCAATTCATTCCACAGTCTCGGGGCTGCGACTGAGAAAGCTCAATTCCCTCCTGCTCTTGAGCCGTGTTTTAGGGACAACAATTGAAGACACTAACAGGAACACTAACGAACCAGCGGTATCGATCACCCGGGCCAACGACCCCACTGAGGTTAAATAGCTGAGTTTCCCTGCCAGTCAGTCAGAACTGAAGAAGTCCTTTGGATGAGGGACGAAACGTCTTCCAGTATCTTCAACCAAGTCCAGTTGCCCTTGACTTTAACCTTCGTTGGATAACTATGACCTGGATGACTGAGAATCTTCATAGACAATTGAAGACAGTATTTGTTTGTTTGTTTGTTTGTGTGCAGGCCAGCTGTGTGGGGAGGGCTGGCACCACGTGGGGGAGGCCTGCCTGAGGATCAACTCCAGCAGAGAGAGCTATGATAACGCCCAGCACTACTGCAAAAACCTGGGAGGAAATATTGCCTCTTTGCTCTCTGACAAACAGGTCAATTTTGTTATGGAAGAGCTACAAAAATACCAGCTGCAAGAAAAGGTGGGTGGTGTTAAAAAAGACAAAAAACTATAAATAAAAGTTATGTGACTCCTTCATGCTAACAGTTGGTGAGCGCTATATATTTTCCACTCTGGCTTCTCTGCCAAATTGCTGTGGCTTTTAACACACCAGTGTGCTGCAGGTCATTTATGATTTAAAAAAAAAAGAAGCCAAACTTCATACATGTTTGGTAAGTGTAAATAATTTGAGCTATGAAAGCATGCTACAGTTTGTTTATTATGTTTGTGAATGAAGATTCCTGACTTGGCAAAGTAGCACTTGCTTTTTTTTCTTGTGATAGTTGGTTTGGATTTGTATGTTTGGAAACCCTTCCCACTAAGCACTTATCACCAGTACTTCAAGATGATTTTGAGACATTACTCATACTTTGGAAGGGTTACTGGTGCTGTAACCATTCTTCTTGTTCACACTGGGCAATCTAGTGAAGGTCAGCTGAAGCTAATCAGGCTTCAACAGTCTGATGTAGATAAATCCAGTGGCTATCCTCCAAAGTTAGTCTTCTTAGTATGAAATTCCTGCTTTGTGTTACTGTCCCTCCTATTCAGATCAACAAGGAATCTGCCAGTGTAAAAACAAGAGAGAAACTGTATGATCAAAATACTTCAAATTTGAACAATACCCACTTGATTTGGCTAACTCTCACAGCTAAAGCCTGGGTGTCTCTCTTTACTCGAGTTAGTAAGGGATCGCTTCAGGGCCAGCGTGGAGATGATGTGAATGATTGCAGCTGTCAGTAACTTTATCAGCGTACACTATATGATATCTGAGCATTGCATTAAGATGGAGATACAAACCTAGCCTTTAATTAGTTTAGAAAAAGACCTGTATCTCATCAGGCTGGTTTATAATGAAAGTAAGGAAACAAACAAATGCAACATCATATACATGGGTATAGTGTTGCATCTGAATGTTATTGTATTTTTAATACATACTATTTTTAGAGATATTAGTATTGTAATGTTCTGCTGATTTATGTGGACAACTGCCCAGCGTTTGTTATACAACATATAATATGCATAAGGTTCCAGACTCAATGTTACCATAACAAAATGAATATAAAGTTATTTATTATTGGATGCCAAGGAATGTGTGGTCAGTTTCTCACCGGGATATTTCTACTCTACTATGGAGTCAAGGCATAAAAATAAATAGAGATAATCACTCTTAGCCCACCATGAAGCACAAAAAGCAGCTTCATCATCACATTTCTTCTTAGTAAACCCAGATGAGTGGCAGGATGTGAATGTTTTCCACATATTCATGTTTGATTCTTTAAATGGCTGCTTTTCAGTGAGAAATCAATCACTTGCTGAGACTGATATGTCGACTTGCAGAGTTTATGGCGGAAATGTCATTTGAGACCCTGACATGTTTGACCACACATCGACGGCTTTTTGATAAATGTGCAGCGTCAGAAGAAATGTGAGCAAATATTTGAACACTGTTAATTGAAGGAAGGTTTTGTTTGAAGGGCCTGTTTTTGTAGATATACAGTTTTTTTTAAATCTGCCTTTGATGCTTTTACTTGATGATTCTTAATATCTTCAGCTGTAAATTTACATTCTGTGCAGTTACCACATACTACTAAGCAATCTGTATGTAGACATTCAAGGATACATACTTAATATAGTGTAAATGCAGCAACATGTTTTTTATTTCATTTATTTTTGTGATAAAGCATAAAGTTTAAGCCTTTTACATTTTTTTTATGAAATAAATCACAGCTGTGGGAAAATGTCTGATTGCTGTCAAATGAAACAATTAATATTAACAGCTCATAATCACTATAGGACATTACTGTATTAAACAAATCACACCATTTCTCATATACCAAACAACACTTCAGTCAGCTGTCATAATTACAGTTTGTTCTTTTTTTAAAATTACTGTCATTTGCAGGTTTGATTTAGGATCTACTTTCATGAAAAACACAACATTATGTCTGTTGTATGGAGTTATCAGCCTGACTACCTCCTCTTGGCAAATGAAGACTTGCTCTCTGTTGTGCAGTTAATTTTAGTATTAATTTATTTTGAATACATTGTATAATGAACTTTTTGGTCACACATTGAGTTATTGTTCCAGTGTTTTTAGGACACTGTCACTGTGTACATGAGGACTACATACAATTAGGGGTATTCTTTTCCTTTTTGTTTCTTTAAAAAAATATTTTTAAACTAGGAAACAGTAGTAGCAGATTTATTAGGTTCATTGCTGTTTCTTTTAGCAGCTCAGACTGATCCGCAGCTTAAGTCACTACATTTTCTCCCCATTTTTCTATTACTGCACGGATAGGTTGAATTGAGCTCTGCCATGTTTGGCCTAAAAATAGTTTTTTGTCTCTGTGATATATCTCAGGTTGAACTCACCTTTAATATGCCTCTGCTTGAAAACTGCAATTGAGCTTATGTATTTTGTTCTTCTTGTTGTTCTTAGGATGAAAAGATTTCCTGCCACAGCTCCTTAACAGATCCAGACTGACTGTATTCCTACCGATATTTTACAAAATACAAAGCACACAGAAACAAGATAAATCCTCCTCGAGAACTGGGAGTCCCAAAAGCATTGGAACAAAGTTAACTTAGATTTTGTAGATGCTGTGAATGTCAACACCAATGTAGCAATACTGAACAAATCCCTTTTTCACAGTTCATCTATAAATGAAGCTTGGCTTCTTAATTTCAGAGGATATGTCGAAGAGAAGGTGCAGAAGCAGACAGTTTATGTTAGGACAGTTTGTTGAACGTTTTCACCTCACCACCTTCTGTATGTCAGGCTATGGTGTTAGTCGCAGCTTTAGACCAATCAAAGAGCCAGTGCCAGAAAATTTGAGAGATCTATAATATATATTAGCATATGGTGTTTATCCGTTAAGTGATTTCAAATTAAGAAACTGAGCTGAACTTATAGACAAATAACAAAGGGGAAATCAGGTGTGCAATGTGCTACATATAACATAAACCTGATTATTCTCTTTCTCTCCACCCCTGCAGGGGCTATCCCCCTGGGTTGGCTTACGGAAGATCAACGTGTCATACTGGGGCTGGGAAGATGCGTCACCCTTCACCAACACCAGCCTGCGGTGGTTACCCGGAGAGCCCAGTGACTCAGGCTTCTGTGCCTACCTGGATCGGACACAGGTGGCTGGTCTTAAAGCCAACCCCTGCACGGCCACGACCGATGGCCTGATCTGTGAAAAACCTGCTGGTGAGAAAGAAAGGGTCGATTAAAAAAAAAATAGAGATAGAGGGGAGGATACAGTTCTGACAAACTAACAGGTGATAAAACAAAACGTACATGTTATTCACATTTCTTAAATACACTGACATTTATTTAGCTGACGCTTTTATCCAAAGCGACTTAAAATTGCTATAGATGTCAGAGGTCACATGTCTCTGGAGCAACTAGGGGTTAAGTGTCTTGCTCATGGGCACATTGTGTCGCAGTGGGAATTGAACACCAAATTGGCATGTGTATTATCCACTGCTCCATCGCCATCCCCCGATATCTTCTATGCTGTTAAAATAAATAAACTGAGAAGTGAGAGAGGAAACTAGTGGAAGCTGTATTTAATGTACCCCTTACTGTATGATGCAGCTAATCAAATTAAATAAATATCAGTTATATTACAGCATTTATATTAAGAATGAACTCACAAAGCTATTAAGATTGAATAAAATGCAGAAAGTAATATTTGGGTTGGCTGCGGCTCAGGAGGTGTTGCCTGCTAATCGGAAGATCAGCGGTTCAATCACCTGGGCAAGATACTGAATCCCAAATTGCTCCCGATGTCTGTTCCATCTGTGTGTGAATGTTAATTTCTGTTCTGAGCAGTTGGCCTCAGTGTATAAATTGTGTGTAAATGGGACTTAATGTAAAAGTGCTTTTAGTGGTCGGAAGAGTAGAAAGGCACTAAACGAGTGACCATCTACTGTAAGGAAAGTTCTGAACGTCTAACTCATGATTTAATTAGCGCTAAACTTGCTTCTTCAGTGAACAACTTAATCTCACATCAGTTCCTTTTCTCTTATCCAACATTCAAACTGTTGTCTTTTTCTATTTTGCCCCTTTCTCGATTTGTCCCATTGCTCAGGGAGTCCACAGAGTCAGAGTGCTCGTCCCTGCAAGACACCCTGCTCTCTGCGCACCAGCTGTGCCAACTGCACCAGCCAGGCCATGGAGTGCATGTGGTGTGGCAGTACGCAGCGCTGTGTCGACTCCTCGGCGTACGTCATCTCCTTCCCCTACGGACAGTGTCTGGAGTGGCAGACTCAGGACTGTACTGGTGAGACTGGAAGAAATCAAACATGGGGGTGGGCTGCTGGTGAACATGAAGGGTGGAGATCAACACATAAGTCAGACTGGATTTAGGTGTGCGACCTACTGTTTCTGTATGTGTTTTTAAGAACAAAAACAAAGGTGGAAAGTCTTTACTCAAGCTCCACATACCATCTTTTTTCAAGGCTTTCAACCACATTTCACAGTCTTTACCAGCAAATGGAGTTTGCTGGTTTCTCAAGCTCTTAAAAACCAAGAGATGTAGCTGAAAGATCTGGCGGGAAAAAAAGCTGTCAAAAGGGCATTGAGTTAGGCCAAGAATTAACTTTCGCGGTCAGAGGTGGGAAGTGTTTTTCTGGATTTTCACTGTAGTACATGCAAAATGGTTATTTAATATGATGCACCACTGAAGTCGGACACTATGAATTATGGTTTAAATAGCATCTGTATTCATTTATCTGGACCAACTACGAGGTGCAAATACACACTAACTCAGAGATATTAAACACTGAAGTGGAGCGAACATAACATATTTGTACTTTTACTGAGGATTGGAGTACTTTTTCTTTTCTTTATTTGTTAGTAGGCAGCTTGATCACAATGAAATTCTTTGATTGTATAAGCTATTGGCAGAGGTGTGATCTATGTATTTTAAGTTACAGAGGTAATTTAAATCAACTCACTTTGCTACTGAAAGTCTATTTGTGAAGTGCTGTTTGCCCCAAATCAAACCAAAGAAGCACAAGAACAGATGTTGTGGTGACACTAGAAAAGAAAGATACGCCAACATAGTTTTAGATGTCGTTTCAATATGATGTAATGACAGGGGCAGTATATGGTTGGATGACAACAATATGTGTGGCTATGAGGACAGATAAATATACAGATAGATTGATGAGGCGGTGTGTACTCTATTCAAAACTTTGATGATGCAAGTAGAGTACGTAGTGTGAACATGTAGTCATTATAGACTCCTATCGATCCCTTTCTTATCAGCAGTCAGGTCTCTGCCTCCCACACACAAACACACACTCCAACACCGAGACAGTGCCACCTCTCTCCTGTAGCTACAGGGCAGAAAATCGATCATCTACACTGACACATGACTGACTCAATATGAAGTCCTCACTGCTTGTCTCTTAACATTCCTCTCATATTAACACCTCCCTGGGGATGCTGGAGTTTTTTCACCACTGCTTTTCCATGTGCTTCTATTATGAGTAGGTGTGTTTAGGAATGTTTTTGTAAGTGAAAGAGACGAGTAATCATGATCCATGACACCAGACAAAAAGCAGCTCAGCCGCAGCCTCTCTGAAATTGCGCTTATTCTTATTTCCATTGTTTTATAAGTGGACATGAAGGGATTTCCTGCCCAACTACTGAGTCTTACAGTAGTTTCAAGTCTGAGTACTTCTGTCTAAATAACATTTCTGTAGTGGCTGTAGCCATTTATCTTGTAAGATAATTCTCCTTCAGCAGCAGTTTCCTGCTTGGGTTTAAAAATTCTCCACCACAAAAGGAACACATCGAATCTTGCTAATTAAAGCTGCATCAAATGCTTTTTGACCTTGGATGGCTACAAACAACCTCATGTCAACTCACAGCTCCTATCATGTGTATCCTGTTGGATTTCACTCTTTACTGACTATAAGTGCTGTGGTTATTGGCTTTTTATGTCTTGTTTGATCCAAACACTCCCCTTGTTCAATTTCTCTTGTGAATATTTTACTTTCTTCAGCCACTTGTACTTTACTCACTTCAGAGGGCAAGTTTATATGGGGGAGTTGGCACTGAAAATTAAACACAGCCCAGTGAACCAAAGCAGGGAATTTAAAGCTGCAGAGTTGGGTGTTGATTCTCAGTGTGATCAGAAGCACTGGCACATGGAAGTTAGTTGATTCAGAAAATCAATTACATTTTAAATTTAAAATGTATGTGATGTTTAATGTGGACTTAAGTAGCAGTAACAAAGCATAATGTGCCTATATATTCAGTGGTTAAAGTATGTTTGTCCTTTATTTACATTTAAAAAGATCAATACAATAATGGATGAAAGTGAGCAATTGCCACAACCTGAGACATTTTCTTTGGAATCTCTATGAGAAAAATTACACAATGAATAGGTCTACATAACTTAACTAACTCGAGGAAGTGAAACTTGTTTCTGATAATGTTCCTTTATGTTTTACTTGGAAAAGTTTAGGGAAAGTACTGCCATATTTTATTCTGCACTTCAACAAGTTTCTGGTAGGAAAAAAGAAATCAAACTATCAATGTATTCCTCTGAGGCAAAACTTTTTATTGGTGTTTTCTGTCATTTGTTAGACAAATAGTCAATTTGTAGCAACGTTTTCTTGTTAAGAAAACAGCTTCAAAAACTTTTTTGTGTCTTGTGACTGGTGATTATTATTCCTTGCTGTTGCCAGTAGTCTGACTGCAGACAGCTCTCTACCCTACTGTTAGCAAGCCAAGATTGTTTTCCATTCTTCTGCTTTACCTTCACTGCTTACATAATGGCACCTTTTCCCCATCCCCTTTTCTCTTTTATTATTCATATCTCAGTTTGGTGTGTAGGATGCTTTTGTTCTGCTACGTTTTACCTTTGTTGCTCAAAGCACGGCATATAAAATCTTTGACACATTTCATTTTTAAAATTCTCTGGTATAGCATTGTTGCTCTTATACTGACCATCACTCTTTGCATAGTGTTTCATACTTAACTTTCTGCTTCACTTCTCTTGTTTGTGGATTAATCATGTCTTGTTTTGAAAACCAGGCCTGCAGGCTACAGATGAAGGATTCATGACCTCAGCTTTGTTAGCTCCTTTCACAAAAAAAACGATTGGTTGTCTGAGGATCCAATTTGAACTGGGTCATTTCTTTATCAGATAAATTTGGCCCAAGGCTTTGCGTATCATTCCCATTTTTCATGTCGGCTGGAGGCTTGACAACACACTCCTCAACACAACCTCTTGAAATAATTAGCTCCAGTGTTGCCCCAGCAGTCAGATGTGGAACTTTTGGGAGCTCCTTTGAAAGCAAGCAGATTTTTCAATCCAAGCTGCATTTTTTTCCCCCCACAGTGTCTCACCTCCAGCATCTGGTCCCTAAAGGTCTTGTACTTGCAGCTATTTGGTAGTGAATATGGCAACTGTATTAGGCTGTACATTAAACTTTTCATTCTAGATGTTGTCAGCTCAACAACACAGTAAGGTCAGTGTTTGCTCCTGGTGTATTTCAGCAGTAGCCACTGTGGACACCCATGTTCATCCGGTGTCTGTCCTGTTGTTTTCAGTAGCAGTAGAAAAATACGAAAAAACCTGCCTTTTCACAAGCAACTGCTTTTGGGGATGGAGACAACTTCAGTGAACTCTGCACAACAGTAGCTGTTAGTTCATAACACTTGTCATAATGCACATACAAAGGAACAAACAATGAATCAATATGCAGAGCAATTAAACAGTAGATATCAGCAAGAACAGAAACTAGCAGCTTTGGTAGCCTCGTAGCTTAAATTACTAATGACACAATTACCAACTGAAACTTTGACTCATGATATTCATCGCCTAAAATTCACCATATCACAAGCATGTTAGTACAAGCAGCCGTAGCTGATGAAGTGAAACAGAAGAGTCGAGCCCATGATATCACGGCTCAAACAGGAAACTCTATCAAATGGTTTTGACCACATCAGAAACACACCAACAAATCTGGCCGAATCAAACTCACTGCAGTCCGTATTGCACAGAATATGTCGGTGTACTTTTTTCATGTGTTGCCTTTTTATATTTCAATAGTTATAAATTAAAATATTATTAATATTAATCTGCATCAAACAATTGGTATCGTACAGTACTGTGAGATACTGTGCACTTGAGTACTCCATTATAAATCTTTGGGACACTCACTGTGTATTTTGTTTAGACAGGAATCTACAACAGGTCAATGACTCTTATATTTAATAGATTTCAAATTAATGTCCTTACACACACACAAGCACATGCACACACACAGGCAGATGGTGGTTTTGCTGCACAGAGAAATAGGCGTATGTTCTCTGAGGCAATCGTCACAAGATGTGTGTGTGCATATGTGTTTTTCTGTCCATCCCACATGCTGTCTGTCTGCTGTTTTGTAGTTCCACATGGTACAAGAAGAGCGAAGGAGAAGGCAGCTTATGGCTCCCACACTTGATGTATTATGTATGGGGGCTCACAGATCTGTATGCTACTGCTTTCAGCAATGCTAACTGTCAAATACTGTTGGAGCAAATGGATTGCACAAGATGAAACCAGACGATACGGGCTATCCAGGGACACCAAATGTCAAACCCGTTGTGATGAACAGAATATGGCACAGAGACGATGGTTCTGAGAGAATGTTTGATAAGATGAAAATTTACCCAGCAGGAACAAGCAATCCTTTTCTTTGCTGCAACACCTCAGAGCATTTCCTCAGAAAGTTCCTCGGAACATTTGTCATCTGTTGTGTTTAGGTATCCTCTTGGTTATTTCTGTCAGTTAAGACTACTGATTTCAATAGAGCCATATATTTTGGAAAGGAACACAAGGTAGGGTAGAGTAATTTTATATTTATAAAATTTTGTTCATATCATAAATAATGTGGTAGATGTTTACTATATAGCAGCCAGCGTCTGAGAATTATTTCTTGTTGACAGAACTTTAAAGCCATTAAGACGCCAAGTCTCCAAGTGACGATAGCAACATGTGAAAGTTTTTAGCGACTGAGGTTTTGCGTTGCCAGCTGTCCTTTTGGATTTGACCCAGTTAGTACATTTGTGTTCATTCTCATTCACATCAAGTTGATAAAAAACCTTCAGATATGGCGTTTCCTGAATTTGACCCCCCCCACACACCAAAAAAAGGAAAATTTAATTAAAAATTTTGATCTGTATTTCTTTGATACTCATATGAAAATGGTTACCGTGCTTGTTTTTAGCCAGGCTAGCAGCTGGGTACGCAAATGCTTATTAGTCAGCTGGTCAAGG